ATGTGTGTATGTACATATATATATATATATATATATATAAAATCTAGTTCAAAATAAAAGCACCCTATGCCGATGCACACATTGTGATAGTACACGACACAACTTATTGCTTTGCCTAAAGAAACACTTTGTATGGTGACACAATCACAGCAAAATCCGAAATCCAAAACCCCCGACATCCATATCATGGCGACAATGCAACCACACAGACACCTTAAACTCATTCACCCTTCAGTACCATGGCACGCGCACCTTTGGAAACTATTCAGGGACATCACAACAACCTGCCCCCACACACTTCTGTACAGGACCCAAACGCACCTTGTTTTTTCTCAGCAAAGAGTGCGTCAAATGCAGACACAGCCACAGCCGAGACGTCGGCGTACACATCGTGTTGACAGCACAGCCAGTGCGGCAGTAACTTCTTCAGATACGGTGCCAACTGTTTCTGTGCACGTGTGGCATAGCCACACATGCAGCTATTGGTCTCCAGGCGTGTGCGTCTGTGTGTGGGGGGGGGGGGGGATGTATCAGACGGCGTTTATTGGGTTTGATAGATAGAGAGCTATATTGGCAAGTATGACGACAACTATAGATGAACATATAGTCATGATGAAAACTGTAGATTGAACGTAGTCAAGACAACAGCTATGGGTGTGAACGTAGTCAAGACAACAGCTATGGGTGTGAACGTAGTTATGACAACTGCTATAGATGTGAACGTAGTCATGACAACAGCTATAAAAGTTAATGCAGTCATGACAACAGCTATAGATGTGAACGTAGTCATGACAACAGCTATATATGTGAACGTGGCCATGACGACAGCTATAGATGTGAACGTAGTTGATATACGAGAACGACATATGTTCATTTACATTGTGTACACCCACAACACCATGTATACATTAATGCCACGATACGCAATACAAGACCTGACGGATTCGTATGAGTACATGCGTGTAGCAAAAGATAAGAAACAAAATGAGTGAAACAATGCCCCTGCGAGGATAAACATTAACGATACGATTGGATGATACACACAAATATACACGAGCCAACTAATCAGAAACAGGAAAATATGCATGTGCAGAGCCACAAATACACGAAAAGAAAATACAATAT